CTTTTCTTCTTTTCTCCCTTTTTTCATCAAATGATGGCCTATTTATAGGCAAAGGAATGTTGCCAAATGACCTCAAATACCCTTCACTTTAAGGATAAGTTGGTCATTTTAATATATATATTTATTATTATTTTTAAATTAAAGAGAAAATATCTCTTTAAAAATTTATTACCCTAACTTCTAAGATTTTTACTAGGGTAAATATATTTTAAATTTTGACATTTTTTTTAATGCCTACACTCACATCTTTTGCAATTGATGTACTCTTAAATATTTTTAAAATTTTAGCAATAAATTATTTCAAGATAAGATAAAATATGTAACATAATTAGAAAAAAAATATAAATTGATGGTTAGAATCAAATACCTATTCATATTGAGAAAACGTAATTAAAGCGCTTATATCCTGCAACCAACTTTTCGATAAAAAAATTTTCAAACTAAACATTTAAATGTTGTTATTAAGAATTGAAAGAAAAAACTTTGAACTCACTTATGATCAAAGGAATGTACGTAAGGAGGATACAGGGAAAGAATGAGTTTTAATATGTGGCACTTGACTCTTCATTTTCTTTAACTCTTCATTTTCCTTAACTCTTCAATTTTTGAATATTTAGACATTGAGTTTTCATTTTCTTCATTTAAGAGTTTTTAAATATTTAAACTTTTGGTTTTTTCCTATTGAACTAACTTCGCTTTTGGTTTTTTCCTATTGAACTAACTTTGTCTGTTCATCTACCACATTCATTCATCAATTATTTTTATAATTTACAATTTTTATACATTTGCCTCTTCATCAACCACTTTCATTATCATTTACAATTTTCATTTTTTAAATTTCATGCTTTTTTTTTTTTTGAATTAGTTAAATGCATACCCTATTAAATGCATAGGGTAGCATTTTACATAATATATAGATAGATAGATTTAGACCTTTAGTCTTGGATGTTAAGCAAACTTTGCCTCTTTATCTACCACTTTCATTATCATTTACAATTTTCATTTTTTAAATTTTATGCACTTTTTTTTTTGAATTAGTTAAATGCGTATCTTATTAAATGCATAGTGTAGTATTTTTGGATAAAATTTTTTTCAAATAAAACATTTAAATGCTGTTATTAAGAATTGAAAAAAAATCTGAAGTCACTTATGATAAGAAGAATGTATGTAAGGAGGATAAGGGAAAAAATGAGTTCAAATATGTGGCACTTAACTCTTCATTTTCTTTAACTCTTCAATTTTTGAATATTTAGACATTATCTCTTCATTTTCTTCATTTAAGAGTTTTTGGATATTTAGACTTCTAGTTTTTTACTGTTGAACTAATTCTGTCTCTTCATCTACCACATTCATTCATCAATTATTTTTATCATTTACAACTTTTATTCATTTGCCTCTTCCTTCATCTACTACTTTCATTATCATTTACAATTTTCATTTTTAAATTTCATGCTTTTTTTTTAATTAGTTAAATGCATACCCTATTAAATGCACATGGTAGCATTTTATATAATATATAGAATATAGATAGATAAATTTAGACCTTAAGTCTTTGATGTTAAGCAAACTTTACCTCTTCATCTACCACTTTCATTATCATTTACAATTTTCATTTTTTAAATTTCATGCACTTTTTTTTTTTAAATTAGTTAAATGCATATCTTATTAAATGCATAGGGTAGCATTTTATATAATATATAGACAGATAGATAAATTTAGACCTTTAGTCTTTGATGTTAAGCAAAACTTTGCCTCTTCATCTACCACTTTCATTATCATTTACAATTTTCATTTTTTAAATTTCATGCACTTTTTTTTTGAATTAATTAAATGCATACCTTATTAAATGCATAGGGTAGCATTTTATATAATATAAAAAGATAAACAGATTTAGACATTTAGTCTTTCATATTAAGCTAACTTTGTCTCTTCATCTACCACATTCATTTATCAATTACTTTTATCATTTACAATTTTCATTAATTTGCCTCTTCACCTACCACTTTCATTATCATTTACAATTTTCGTTTATTAAATTTCATGCTTTTTTTTTTTTTTGAATTGGTTAAATATATACCATATTAAATGCAAAGGGTAGCATTTTATATAATATATAGACATAATATTTAGACATGGACTCTTCATTTTCTTTATTTAAGAGTTTTTACATACTTAGACCTTTGGTCTTTCATGTTAAACTAACTTTGCCTCTTCATCCACCACATTTATTCATCAATTATTTTTATTACTTACAATTTTCATTCATTTGCCTCTTCATTTACCACTTTTATTATCATTTACAATTTTCATTTTTTAAATTTCATGCACTTTTTTTTTTGAATTAGTTAAATGCATAGGGTAGCATTTTTATAATACATAGATATAGATTTAGACCTTTAATCTTTCATGTTAAGCTGACTTTGCATTTCATCTACCACATTCATTCATCAATTATTTTTATCATTTACAATTTTCATTCATTTGCCTCTTCATCTACCACTTTCATTATCATTTATATTTTCATTTTTGAAATTTCAAGCACTTTCTTTTCTCTTTTTTTGAATTAGTTAAATGCATACCCTATTAAATGCATAGGGTAGCATTTTATATAAAATATAGATAAATTTAGACCTGTAATCTTTCACGTTAAGCTAACTTTGCCTCTTCATCTGCCACTTTCAGTTTTTAAATTTCATGATTTTTTTTTTTGAATTAGTTAAATGCATACCTTATTAAATGCATAGAGTAGCATTTTATATAATACATAGATTTTTTTTATCAAATACAATAAAATTACTAATCTAATAAAATTTCAACAAAACTTTATTATAAAATTTAATAAATTTTCATGTAATACTTTTTAATTTTTTTATACAATAATTTTGCAACTATTTTCTTAATAAAAATTGTCCTAATAAAATAAAATTTTAACTAAATAGACCCCAACCATGACCAAGTGTTCGACGAAAGTGTTTAAGACCACACATTAGAGTGTCAAGGTCATACAAATTTTATCCTTTTTATTTTTAAAACAATCAATTAAAATATTTAAAAATATTAATGTGTAAATTGATTTTAATTTACTAAACAACTACAGTTATATTAATTATTTTTAATAATTTGAACTAAAAAAAATTAATATTTTAAAAAATAAAATTTAAAAACTTAAAAATTTATATTACTCTAATAATATATAATAAGTTAAATGTTAATTTTAGTCCCTTAACTTTAAAGTTTTGCACAATTTTATCCCTCAAATTTTTTTGTACTTTTTTTTATATTTTAATTATGAAAAATATACTTTTTTAGTCTTTTCGTCAGTTAATTCGTTAAATTTATCTGAATTTATATATTTTTAATCCTTCAACTTTTAATATATACACATTTTTAGTTCTTTAACTTTAAGTTGATAAATTAAAAATATGCAAATTTAGATATATTTAATAGATTAATTGACGAAAAATTTAAAAAAAATGCACTTTTCATAGTTAAATGACTAAAAATATATTTAAAAATATTTAAAAAAAGTTGAGAGATGAAAATTGTGTAAAATCTAAAGTTGAGGGACCAAAATTGGAATTTAACCTTTATTATATTATGTGATAAAAATCATATCCACGTACAAGA